CGACCCTGTGGAGACGGTGCCTTCAGATTCGCTAGGCACCCACACTTCCAGACACGCGGGGCTCATGCAAAGAGCCGCTTCCTGTCGATCCAGGTCAGATCCCGCCACCGGGAACGCCACCGCAGCATATTGCCAAGAAAACTCCAAGCGCCAACCCTGGCAGGGAAGTTGGGCACTGGCCTGGGTAAAGTTGGGAGCTACAGGATGCTCTGACCCTGGTTATCCTCTGCCCCAGCACGAGGCCAACCCAGCCGTTGACTGGAAGTCCCCAGAAATGCTTCCTTGGCCATTGCCCAGACCAACCAGGTGCGGCAGAACTGTGGGCCAGTTCGGCCCACTTTTTAAAGGCCCGGGGGTAAGCCAGTGTGGCAACCCTGCACTCACGGGTTTTTTACTGTCTATTGCACACTCAGCTTCACAGCAAGCCTGCACCATCGGCAGGGAAAAACAGGCCAGATTACGTGGCATCCTGTTTGTTTTTTAAAAAAATGATGGGCAGTTTCTCCATCTCCTTCACAAGCCTTAATGAAGATCCAGGGGCTCGTATCTGCCCTCCTCCTCCCCTAAAAGAGATCGAGAGGCTCTTGGCCAGAACTAGCTGCAACCAGCATCAGCACCGGTTCCTCTTCTAGGAACCGTGGTTCTTCCCTTCTCGGACACTGCTAGAGCCGTGGGTGTGTGAAGGTGCAGAGGTCCAAACCCGGTCAGATCCACATGTAAGGGGCCCAGCCGCCCAAAGCGAAGACCTTTTGCTCTCAGGGGGCGAGATGGGGCCCATCCTTCCAGTGTTGACCGAATTGGCAGCTGATTGACACCGGGGTGAGGGGACGAGTCTTCTGCGACACCGGAGGGCCACCTCTGAGCTTGGGTGCTCCTGGAGGCTCCTGCTACGTGTGGCAAGCACTTCTCCGCCCTCGGCGTGTTTTGCTCTTCCTGCAAGACTTGTTGGTGTGCGGTGCGCGTGCCCGGGCAGCCTCAGAAGGCTCTCTGAAAGCCTTTGTGTTTCTGGGATCTCCAGAATAAAGCAGAGGTTCAGTAACCACCACGGGACCCCCCCTCCTCACTTCAAGCCCCTGGAGCTCCGTTGCAGAGCCTGACAAGACACTGGAAAGAAGGACGCTTGTCCTGGAAGGCAGAGCCTCGGCATCTCAGGGATACCCAGTTTCCCCCAGGGATGCACAGAGCAGGACGCCGGAGCCCTGGGAATGTGCTGGTGGCAGAAGCGGGCCTGGGTGGGCTTGAGCATCTCCCTTCAGGCCGCTGGAATCTGCACCGTCCAGAGGGAAGCCCTTTGCTTGAAACGCGCTCAAGGAAAGCTCCGAAACGATCCCTTGGGGAAGCGTAGCTTGGCCCGTCAAGGGGATGCAGGAAATGAAGTTCTCATGGGGGGTAACAACTTGTGAGATGCATACCTGTTCCTTAAGATGCCCCGATGAACACAAGCGCAGGAGGCGGGCGAGGAGGCGCCTTGAAAGAGAGCTAATGTGGAGGACGCCACTGGAAGGCCTGAAGGACCAGGCTGGAGAAGATCAACCTGTGTGGTCACTAGGAGCTGAAAGCCACTTGATGACACAGCATCAAATGTGGGGGAACTGCAGGAATTTACCCGAGGCAGAATTGAAGTTTTGGACCTCTCTGGTGCTTCCACGCCTCCGTGCACACAAATTCAGGCCCTGCAAGACCCTCCACTTAAAGCAAAGTTTCCAGTCGGGAAAGAGCCCTAAAAATGTGGACCCGCATCTGGTGGAACGTGAGAAGTGAGCTCTGGGGGCTGAGCTGGGCAATTTGCCGGAAGGGCTCCTGTCTCCTTGGCTGAGCTGAGGAGGAGTCCACAACACGTGAGGGATGCAAAGGCCTTCTGAGCTGGTCCTTCTCATGCCTCACAGACTTCCTTAAGGGTCAGCGTGCGCATTAATTCCTGCCCGTCTCCTGGCGGCAGCGGGCACTAGCGGTGCCTTCTCAGAAACGCCTTGCCCGGGTGGCTCTTCGTTCTGACGGATTGTCCTGGGAGCTGGGCAGCTGGGTCAGCGCCCTGATCTCCCTGGATTTTTGGAGCTGTTTAGTTCTGCAGATTTCCCCCCCAGAAGTCTGCTTAGGAAGCAGCCCCTCGCCCTGTGAAAGGGAATTCTCTTGCACTCCACAGATGGGCTCTTTGACTTCGCTTTTTTAACCGGGCCTGCTGTGAGGGAAGCCAGCCAACAGGGACAAGTTCAAGACTCCCCGGGTTTTCCTTTGGGCGTGCTCGGCCCCCGCGTTCCCCCCTTTTCTGCCCAGTGCTTCGGCTGTGTTTGGAGGGCAGACTTCCTCGGCTGTGCTTCTCTGCCCCTTGCAAGGCAGCTCCTCCGCGGTTCCGTTCGCAGAGTTGGTAGCAATCCGGACAGCCCGTTTGGAAAAGGAAGGGGGACCCAGGTGGCCTTACAAAGCAGATGGTCACCCTCCTGGCCTGGAGGAAGCGAGAGGAAGGCTTGGCTGCAGGTAGGTTGCAACACCCAGTATGGCCAGGTTGTCTTTAAGCGTTCCCCGGAGAGTCCAGCCTGAGGTGGTGGGCGGGGATTTAACCCTCCCTAATTTTCCCTGCTCTGGGGAGTCCCTTCCAGGCAGCACTTTCGTCAGAGGGTTGGGCCCCTTCCTTCCTTCCCTCCCCCTCCCCTCC